CGCAGTCCCATCTAAGTGAATCCGCAATACACTCTTCATTTGCTGCCCAAATTCTGGAATCTTTTTCACTTTTGAGCAGCCATCAAGATTGAAGGTCTCAAGAGAATCCATTTCAACCTCACTTGGGAGGCTATTAATGCTTTCACAGCCATTAAGAAGCAAATGTTTAAGCCTTTTGAGGATTGCAATAGACGGGTGTATCTCAACTAAATTATTACAATCTCCAAGAATCAACCTCTCAAGATTTGGAATACCACTGAAATCTGGGGTACTCTTCAATTTATAAGAGTCCCTAATGTCGATATGTATTAAGTTGGGTAAGTCCTGCACAACATCACCGATAAGGTTCAAATCGTATAATTAGCTTCCACAACCTTAAAGTTTATTCAAAATAATAAATAAATAAATAAATATATGATTGTTTTGCAAATTAAATAGCATTTATTCTCAATGAATATGGAAGAAATTTGGGACCTTCGGGATTGTACAATAAAAAAATATCAAGCGTTCCTTGATTTTAAAACTCAAGAAAAATTAAATAACACGTCTATTATTTTTTAAAATAATATGTGTTAAAATATCATTTGACAAAATCAAAAAGTGAGTATTGACTAGTGAGTAACCAATATTATCTTTTGTTCATAACTACTCTTACCACTTTTCCCTCCCAAAGACGAACAAGATTGCTATTACGCATCTCAAGTTTAGCAAGCAAGTGCGGGCGAAAGCTGGTTGGAAGAAAATTAGAAGGATACCAACTCCAATTTATAATTCTCAAGGAACATGGAAGAAATTTGGGGCTTGAAGAAAATATCAAATTATCGAATTCCAAAAATCTCAGTCCATCCATCTTAGAGAAGGCTTCACAATTCCACTGGCGTACCTCTTCGACTTTGAGCAGGCGTAAGGATATGGCTTCAATTGCTCCTGTTCCCTAACAATTAAGGAAAAAAAGGACGAATTAATTTCATATAATAATATAGAGTCAAAAGAAATCATATCTTCTTCCAAACTTAGTATTTAACTTCTTACCGTATTCGTCGTGAATATATGATCAATGTCATTGTAAAGCCACAACCTACTGCGTTGACCAGGCTCTTTAGACTCTTGAACAATAACTGTCCATGCCATTTCTTGAATCAAATCATGCATCCGTATGCATTTTTCATGATCTTGATAGATGAGAGATCTCTCAATTAGTACATCTATCATACTACTACTAGAAATTCCAAAAGAAATATCTAGCATTTTAATTACTTCATTTGTGTACTTCCCTTTGTGGAAACATGCAACATCGAGAAAAATTCTCTTCTCCCACTCTTCTAGTCCATCATAACTTATTTTAAGTTTATCAAAAATTGCTGGATTAGGAATTTTTGACAGATTATCCCACACACTATTCCAAGTGTCTAGCCTTCTCTTAAACAATGCTGACCCCAAAGTTTCAAGAGCTAATGGAAGGCCTCCAGCATAATTAATGAAACACGTTGACAGTTCCCAAAACCCATCCACAGGCAGATTTTTCTTAAAGGCATGAAGGCTAAACAGTGCAAAAGCTGCGCCTTTATCTAACACTTTGACATCATGACATAATGTTATGTCATGCTGGACTAACAGACGTTTATTTCTAGTTGTAATAATAATTCTACTTCCCATGCCAAACCAATCTTCCTTTCCAGCTAATACATGAAGCTGGTTTATGTGATCCACATCATCAAGTACAAGAAGAACCCTTTTGTTGCATAAGCACTTCTTAGTGAAAATGATTCCGCGCTCTTCATCCCAAATTTCTTCAATCTTTTCCCTCAACACCGGGAAAAGAAGTCTTTTTTGAAGATCAACGTTAGAAACCTCTCTAACGTTGCCGAGAAAGCAGTGAACTTCAAAATGATGAAAGATTCTATCATAAACAAGCTTAGCAAGGGTTGTCTTGCCTATGCCACCCATCCCCGTTATCCCTATAAAGCGTACATCATTGACATCATGAGCTAATAGAGAACTTAGTTGGTCAAGCCCAAAATTAACCCCAACTAATTTGTGTGAGGAATCTAACAACGGGAATGTAGCTTGCACTTTCCTCCACACACTTTTGACGAGTTGTTGTATAATCTCAGTTTCACTCCTACATGGTATGAAATAACCAATCAAAAAAAACATAAACGAAGCATTTAATTTTGACTCTACTAAGACATGGGAAATTAAAGTTGTTCATGCTTACTTAGATTCCTTCGAAGTCCAACCACAAATTTTGGACACTGTCTTTAGATCAGCTTTCCATTGGAGCACCTTCTTTTTGCCTTCGATACCGATCAACTTTTCTTCATGCTCTGCGAAGGCTTCGGCAAAACATCCCCGTTGATTTCCGACGTCAGATGGATCTGTCTGATAAAAGACCGGCAGAACTGAGTTCCTGGCTTCCATGCATTGAAGAATGGTTGTAAGTTCGTCCAAGCACCATTTGGAAGAAGCATAGTTTGGTGAGAGAACAACAATTGCAATATGCGATTCTTTGATCGCACTTGGGAGCTCAAGATGAATACTTGTTCCTCCTTCAAGCTCTCGGTCGTCCATGAAAGTCGTAATTCCTTGGCACTTGGACAATTCATGGTGTAAATGGGATACAAAACCCTTGCGGGTGTCTACACCCCTGAAACTCAAAAACACATCATACTTCCATCGAGGAGCTGATTCATTGAAAAGAAAAGATGCAGAGGCTCTATGGGTGCTCAATGTCAATGCCATCGGACAAAACAGTTGGTTGTAATCGGGTATTGCAAACAGTAACTGAATGAACAAGTAAAAAGATAGAAGATCAATGTTATAGATTTATAAAAAGAACTTGAAACTTTAATCTTGTTTTGGTAATTACAAGATACAATTTTTATTCGTAACTACATGGACTCACTGCGGTCAGATATATCTGTGTCAACACATATTTGACAATTTGATTTGATCTTACAGTTCCCTGTTAACTCAGTTTAAGTTGTTGAGTCATATTCAGTTACAAAAAAATGGGTTCTGCAAACAAAAACAATAGTCAATGAACAAGTAAAACAAAAAATGAGCAATGAAGAAAAAAAAAATTAGAAACTTTAAAACTTGTTATGCCAATTGAAAATGTATTTAAGCAAAAGAGATTAGGGACTTAGAGAAAATACTAGAAAAACAAAATACAGGATTAACACAAACTTACACATGCAGAGAAAAGTGACAAACGACAAGGAAAGAAGCAGAAAAATCACACTAAAAATTCTCATAGAAAAGTTGTGTAGGAGAGGAAGGGAGGAAAGGAAATAAATGGGAGAGAGATGGACAACCGAGTATTACTTCTATTGGTAGTGGTGGTGGTTGCGACCACACGGTTTAGTGTTGGTGATTGTGGCAGACATGAATTATTTCTTTGATGAAAAAACCTAGTGTTGGTGATTGTGGCGGACAATGAATTATTTCTTTGACAATGAATTATTTCTGTGATGAAAAAAACTTAGTAGGACTGTTTACCTAAGTATGAGTAAAAGAACCAAAATTCTAGGATGATCTATGGTAAATTATTTAACAGTTAAAACACTGGAGTATCTCATACTTTTGAGTATCATAAATTATTTAACGGTTAAAACATCTGGAGTATCTCATACTTTTGTGAACTAATATAATTTCTTGTGTCACTTTGGATTGTTTGTTTTGCAAATTTTCTGCGTTAGTTTATTGATTTCATATTTGAAGCTTCTGCACAACATTTACTGCTAAAAAAAAATAAGCTGAGCCATACCTCACTTTAAACAAATTAAACTACAAATCCACTGCATCTAACCGCTCGTATTGGTTTCATTTGACTGATTTGAATGTTGCATCACATAACTTCTCAAAACCAAACATGTTTCATCACATAGGTATAAAGATAAACTTAGATTAAAAAGAAGAATACATACTAATTTATTGAAAACATCAGCAATTAAACATTGTCATCTAGTATTGAGCCAAAGATAAGTTGGAAGGACCTAGCAAGCAGCTCCATCACCATCTGCCAACATTTCTAACCAACACCATCACACAAGCCATCAAGTAACATATTGTTGTAGATAAAAACAAGGGGCTTTTGGATCTAGGTCCAAAAACATAGGTAATTTTTGGGACTGAGTCCAGTTATCCAATTACATATTTTGATATCAATTTTGCCCCTTCAGATAAAAATATTTAAATTATTTAATTTTTTTTTTATCATTTATTCAGTTTTTAAATTTTGAATATTTAAATACCCAACTAAAATATTATCTAGTAACTACCTACTGTTTATGAAGAAAACAAAACCGATATAATCTAATAACTACCTACCTATTGTATAGGAAGAAAAATGCTTTATACCTACAAAGCAAATATAATCTACCTGCAAAACAAAAATAAACTACCTATTGTATAGGAAGAAAAATGTTAGGAACCTACATGGCGGAACATAGAAATATAAATATGATATAATATACCTCTATTAAAGGAACGAATTTGGAGGGAAGAACACAAAAATATCACCCATGAAAAGAAGAGACAAAAAAGAGGAGGATTGATAGAGGGAATTGTTTGGAAGAAGGAAAAAAGGTGGGATGAAACGAACTAGGGTTGAGGTGATTATATGGCTATAACTAATCCTACAATTAAGGGATTAGTTAAACGACAAATAATCCCATAATTAAGAAATTTTGTGTATTTATAACAATTCGTAAGTCTAAGGGGTAAATATGGTACAAACCACAAATAAGCATATGTGGAATCTTAATTATTGGACCTATTTCAATGAAGTGGACTAATTCTACTAATGGCTCACAAAATTGGATCTATATCAAGTTATCCCTAAAAACAAATCAACCTATTTAATTTAGTTTGGTTCGGGCGGTTTGAACGGGTCATCCGGTTAGGTTTGTAGGCTTATTTAGGCCCAAACAAAAGTTGTTTAACAAATGGGCCGAGATCCATTTGCAACCCATACCTCGAAGTCCCCGTTTCTTTGTTTCCATTAGAATTTGCAGCCCATTTTTCGGCGATCCAGCATCTCCGATCTTCGTCGTTACGTTTTCATCTTCCTTAACTCCTTCCAAGTTCCAACAATGGCTTCCTGAATCCAGCTCCATCGTCTCCATAGTCAACCTCAAAGATCACAGAATGGAGCTTGCTCTTTCCATCCTCTTCCTCTCTCTCAACTTCTCCTCTTTTCTTCGTCCTGCTACTGCTGGAGGCGGCCTTCATACTTCCTACCCTCCAGGTCCCCATCTCCTCATATATATATATATTTGTATGCATTTTATATTATTTGTTCATTTGCATCTGTGTTCATTTAGTTTCTTGGTTGTTTTTGGAAGTTGAAAAACTGAGATTACAAGAACAAGAAGTAAATTAAAATATGTTAGTATTTAGTATTTACCAAGCAAAGAGCGATTGCATTAGTGCTTGTCAGCTTGTACTCCGGAGCATGCTACCCGACAAGTACTTTTTTTAAATTTTGTTATTTAAAGACTCTTAGGAAGAAAGGATTTTGTAAATTGATCCATCCAAAATTTATATATCTAATGTAGCTCTTCAGCCTTCATCCACATTCATTTTTTTCGCTCATCCAAATTGTTAAGCTCAAAAGATACATAGTACTCATAGGTTTTAATTCTAACAGGTTGTTCTCTATCTTAGCTAATGGATTCCTTGATTCAGATGCCGAGAAATTAGTCATTACCAATTCTTTTGTTGTTCACAGGTTGCCCTTGTTGCAAATTATCCATGGGATGGCACTCAGGATAAAAGGTAATCAAAACTGCCCTTGTCTTTTGATCTAAATTAAATTACAGGAAAGATTATTTTGCATGTCCAGACGACGAGACATTCCAGTTCTTAGCAAGTGTATATAGTCGCTTCACTACAGTACGTCATTGAGCAAGGAATTTGAGGGAGGGATTACGAATGGTGCTTCCTGGTATGATGGCTTGAAACATTACAACTTATTATAGGTATATTTTCCTTTTGTTTCTTATTCATCTATTGTTTCTTCAGACACCTGTTGTAGGTACCCTGTATATGGGGTATGCAAGATTGAAACTACATAAATGGTGGCTGTTTTGAATTTACCTTGGAGATTAGTGATAACAAATGGCCTACTGCTAACGAGGTCAGGCATCAGTTAGGGGGGCGATTGTTTGCAACCTTGATATATAAAACTGTATTCTTTAGCCAAGCTTATCATGTATATGGGGATACGGTATACGCCCTTGGTGCAGCCATAGGTCCAATGGACCTTAGGGGCGCTGTGGGGACGGAACTTTGCATGGTACTGACTTTTAGCTCAGATCACTACAGGAGTCCTTTATTTTTATTTTATTGTCTTCCATTGTTCAGGTTCAAAATTCTAGGCACGAGGGAGGGGGGTGTGGCAATCTTATCAGTGTGGGTTTATATTGTCAGAGAGTTAATAGCGTTACATCACTCCCTTCCAAACAGGAGAAGCTCTATTTCAAAATCTAAATTTTCACCTCATTAAAGGGTTTTAGGTAGGGATCATATTTTAATGTCTGTTTAAAGAGAAGCTTCACTGAACACTTTCAGTGTCTCCTTTGTGAAAATCCTAACATGGCTGGTTAAGACTTTGGGTTACTTGGTGTCCTAACATGGCTGGTTATTTTCTTTTTGTTCTTGCTTCATGTCTTGATATTATTGTAATATCTTGTTATGTTTCTTGTTGCTAGACCTATACACGAGGCACAATGTTACTTAATCAATATGTTTTTTGCCTGTTTCTTGTTTCCTATTAACGTAAGCTTGCCTTCTTGCTTGTTTACGTGTTCTAGTTCATTTGTTATATGGGAATGTTTGTAGTTTTATATCCATTTAGTTAGGAAGAGTAACGGATCTTGTTGCCAGCCTGTCCTATGTTGGAGGCATTTTTGAATGATTAATAGGCACAGTGACCTAGAAAATTATTTCCCTTTCGTTTTAACTTACTTTTTGAATGATCTTTCATTTTATTCTTCAAATTGAGGGATAAGTAGTTTTTCCTGTTATGGTTGTACAATATGGCTTCAGTTTGAGATGTGATATTGGACTGAAGTCTTAGAATCAAATTGAATAGTAGGTCAAAACCCCGTTGAGGAGCCTAAAGTATTGTTGGGATATTTTCCAGCCGTATGATTAGTAGAGTAAATGATAGAAATAAATGACAAAACAGTCTGTTTGATAAGTACATTTCAAAACAAAAGAAAACTGGATAACATTGGAGTGTCACTTATTCTTGCTAAACCTTTCCGTTATATCATAATTTGTTATACCATTTTGGTCAGTTAGCTGTTTTACATTATTTGATAAGCTGAAGAGGACTACATGTAAATCAATGGCTCATCTGTTTTGACTAACAGGTTCAAGCTAGCGGAGCATTGGCACATTAATTACCTTCGCATTACCATCGCTTGCTTGCCCCCGCCGGAAGATATGAAGGTATTTACAGTTTATATCCTTGTTCATACCGAGCTGGATGCTATAAAAATGAAAAGAGGAAATATAATGCAGTTGAGTATTAAAACTACTGGTACCATATTATAGACCACATTTCCATAGTTGTACGCTTTTTCACGTATGTCATATGGCATTCAACAAACTTGGCCTAGATCTAGAGAGTGAGTGGATTTTTGCACCCCATCATTATTGAGGGCATGAAATGAGAGGATTTGGCGTGATGGTCCTCTTTTTCTGCTCTTCTTATTCCCGGTGTAATCGCGGCTACCGTATTTTTCGGTAATTTTTTACCGTAATTTTCGGTAATTTTCGGTAATTGAAACTTGGTTTCTTATAAAGAAGGGATAAACATGAAAGGAATTGATTGCAGCCTAATAACTGTTGCTTTTCGATAACACATGAGTGTACAGTCTGTATCTTGAATCCTTGATAATAAATTTGTCGAAGGCTCTTGGAAACAAATGCTTTATGGATTCTGTTGTGGCACTGATTTCCCATCTTTAGGTGGCTTTTGATGCCTTATTTTTTTGTTGGATTTACTTGGTTATGTGCAGTCACAGCTACTGCAACTGGGTATAAATCAAAGACGACATGTATCTGGTTGGAAGAAGCAGGCACGACAAATGGGGATTTTGTTCTCGATCCTGAAGTCAATCCCAGAGGAATTCAACTTCAAAGTGCCTGTGATTGCAGCTGGGGAAGTATGAGCATCATTTGGGGAACCCCTTTCGAAGTGTACCTGCTTTTGATTGTTATTGTAGGTTCCTTTTGTTTTTATACAGGAGGAGGACATTCAGCCGATTAAAACAAAGGCAGTTAGTAGGACCGAAAAGACCAGTTTGTGGGGGGGGAGAAGATAGGTGAGAGAGTACAGGGAAACACCACCCAGGAAAGTGCCATTATGGTCACCCGCTATAACTCTGGCTGGATCTTCAAAGGCAACTCGAGTCCATTGAGAAATCAGAGATACCTCTAGACCTCTGGCAATGCTTATACATCTCAACTTTTGCCACATTTCTGTACACTTCAATCCAACAGCTCAGAATCTTAAACTATTAGGCAATTGATTAGATATTTGCTATTTTCAATTGAAACCGGGTTTCAATTTTTCGAACGCATCATCGTGTTTGGCACCCCAGTGTTACAATTTTCTGGGATTGGGATGCCAAACCCCACCCAAGTCAGTCTCCCCATACGAAGCCGTCATCAAGCGTTCAATACTGCAGCTTCGTCTTTTGGGCTTGTTCAGCATATGCTTGTGTATGTAAACCGAAATGCATTGAATTATGCTCCACAAGTTGTTAGGGAAAGGAAAGAGAGCAACAGGGTTGTGATTAAGGCTGGTGAGTCCAATGGGTTTTGGGAGGAGATTTTATACTAATGAAAAATTTGTGAATGATTTTAGGCAGATTCATGAGAGGGAACATGTGAACAGGTTGAATCAGATTGAGACTGCTAGAGGGAGTTCGGGGGTGAATTTGGTGGGTAAGTATTCAATGAAGATGGACAAGTGAAAGAATGCTTCAAGGGATGTCTTGACACCCAAGGTTGGGCGTGGTTTAGCGGACTAAGGTGAAGCGGCAGGGGTTTTGGTTTTGGATGTGTTGGATACGCTACAGGGGATGGATGTTGCATTGAGAAATCATAGGAGAGTTGAGTTTGTGATGTTTGTGTCGGATAATCAAGGTATTGTGGATGTTGCGATGGAGGCGAAGTTGAGATGTATGTCTGAAGATGGTGGTTGTGGCGGATTCTAGCTTTTCTTGGAATGAAATGTTGAGTAGAAAGGTTAAGAAGGAGGCTGTTTCTGGTTGTGGGGAAACGGAAAGACCATCACATGTTGAAGATATTGGACTAGACATACAAGCCAGAGGAAGAACAAAGTTTGCATAACTGGAATGGTGAGGTTGATGCTGAGAGTGAGGACGAGCAAATCAAAGTTTTTGTTGGTGTGTGTGTGTGTTTGCGCTTGCATGCGTGTGAATGAAAATTTGTGAAGGATGATACTGGCAGATGGATGGTGGGAGCTTGACTCGGGATGCTGAGGCCATTTCACCACAATCATGTCGATGACACACGAATCTTTCTGAATCCTGGTTGACGATCATGTATGCTACTGAGCCTGTGATTTTGATCAGTCAGGTAAGTTCGCTTTCCTCTCCTTAGCTACTGTACTAGTGCTTCATGTTAATGTCATCACAACTACTGTCCTTGAAGAAAATGGAGCATGTATATGTTATTTACCTTATTTCGCGCACAATAAAACACAGACGAAAGACACAAGGAAAATTTACTTTGTGGAGCTTTCCATTTGTGTTATGCGGTAAATATGCACCATATGTTTGTAGAACTTCAAAGTGACAAAGGTTGTGCATTGATCTCATTATATACTTTGATTCATTTCGTGGCATGTTCAGGGCACTAAAATGTTGACAGAACTGAGGAATTCTGTTTAAGAGAGTTACAGGAAAAAAAAGGTGCTCACAAAGATTGTGAGGTAGCTATTTTGCGATCAAATGGTTTACATATGGTTTGTTGGCTTTGTCTTTCTTCCGAGACTAAATACATATAGACGTACATAAGGGAGCACAAGTAGTGCTCTCCTATATTTCTACAAACGTAGATAAGGGAGCACGAGTAGTGCTCTACTATATTTCTGCAATGTTTCTCTGTAGCAGATTATGTCACGTATTGACCCCCAACTTGAGAAGAAATAATTATTTTGCTCTTCCTTTCATCCAAGACTAATTGGTTGAGTCGCTGAAGCAATAAATCAAAATCATCTTGGCTCCTTAAGAGGGTGAGACGAACATATCGATCTTCAGCTCCAAATTCAGCACCTGGACGACCATAAACATTCGCTTCTTGTTTCAGAACTTCATAGCAATCTTATCCTCTTCCCTCTCGCACTTCACCCATGCATAAGCTGCAAATTCATTTGATCGTCAAAACATAATTTTCAGTTTTTCTGTCACCAAATCGATAAATCGTTACACGCATACACTCGCGCACTTCTGTACGGTTTTTACAATAGAATATGTCATCATGAACGTTAAAATCTCATTACCTTTGAGAGGTGCAACGTCCTATGTTTATACAGGAATTCTTAAATTACGTCACCTACACACACGTACTCTTGCATGTTTCGAAAAGCACAGGATGAGTTATAGTACATTACCTGGTGAAGGGTCTCTAATATTCTTGAAAAAGTTGCAGTATTTGGGTTCGAACTTTTGAAGAGTAAAGCGGTTTGACAGAGACAGGATGTTTGTCAAATTTTCCCAGCGTTTCTTCAAAGTATGGTATCCGAACTCAAAGATTTCCCTGCCTCCAGTTTCAAGGACGACATTTAGAAGCTTCAAAGCTCTTAGCTGAGCATCTCGAGAAATACCTAAGCTACTCATGAGTATATGCTGGGTCATCCTTTGGTACACAGACTCATCCTTAACCAATGCCCACCTGCACAAGGCAAAACATTAATATAATTACCTAGAGGGGCTTTATTTAGGGTTTAGGGTGAAAAAATTCAAGCAGAATATCTCACTATTAAATTCAATAGATGTGGAAGCATATGTTTTTTATTTATACAACGATATATTTACACTAAGGGTGAGGAGAATATGGAAGAAAATGTTGGTTAGTTTGTTACGTACCCGAATCTAGTACCGGCATGGCCAGTGAGCTTAGAAATTGTAAATATCATGAGATCGTCATCCGCTGGAGCAGGAATTGCTGTAAAATGTGGCCAGTAGTATACACGATCATAGATTGCTTTAGCATTCGGGCCTTGAAAAATTGCCTTCTTCAGCTGCCCATCTGGATTGTTTGGTGAGGTTACAAACTCAACAACATTTTTAGTAGCATCCGAAGTGTTCTGCAGCAAGGCAGCATCTCCTTGAAACATATAGTCCATTGATCGGAAAAACTCCGTTTGCATTTGGTAAAGCTGTGAAAATTCACATCGAAATCATGTATATCAATATTTAATAGTTTTATTCATTAAAAATTTTGCTTGCTGTAAATTCAGAAGTCGATCTTACACTGTAATAAGGAATTGAAGCTACAACACTTGAAGGTGAAGAGTTGAAGTTATTGGAAGTCGACAGCGCGTTAACTGCAGCATTGAGAAGTTGGGTTGAGCCAGCACCAAAAACAATGTATCTCCCTTCAGTGACCGCATTTCCGACAATGGTATGAATTTCGCGGATGTGCCTCTCAAGCTCTGCTGAGACGCGAGATTGATCAGGGAAGACATAGCTCATTCGATGCCATCCTGCTACTAAAACTGCACTTTTTGATGCATGTTTCGTCCAAAAAGGCTCCAAGAAATATGGGTCCCCACTGCAACAAACAATTTTTGGTGGAATTTGAGCGTGTAGAGAATGAAGTTAAGATGTCAAAGATAATCAAACTTTGTTTTGCAGAACTGTCTGTTCAAGTTTTGCATGAAAAAAAGTCAGCTTAATGAAATCCCGTAAGAACTAAGCTATTTTGCGACAAATAAATATTTAATTCATTTGAAAGTCATTCCCAAATTTCTCCTTCGTGCGTGTGATATATGACTGTAAAAATAAGGCTGGCCAAAGCTCCACACAACACAAAGAAGCCGAATTAGATGATAGAATTGGGAGTTGGGTGCGCGACGCTAATGTTAATTAGGCCGAACGAACCTTAAGACCATCCACAACCCTTTTGGTTAAACCTTAAAAAATTAAGCCACAAATTTTAAAGCCATAACAATTGTTTTCTTCCATTGATTATGGCTTAAAATTTAAGCCACACACAATTAAAGAATAATTTTAGCCTAAATTTTTCGTTAACTTTTTATAAAAATAAGATTATTATGTCGATTATTCTAATTTATTTTTAGGGAACTTTAACGAAAAACTTCCGGTACTGTTCATTTTAACAAAAAGTCATATTTTTACACTAAAAAGTCAATCATGATACTATTCACTTTAACCTTTATTTTGTTCTTATCGTTAAAACTTAAAATTTTCAAGCATTTTTCATTAGTTTTCCTTTATTTTTATGAAAATTTTTACCTAAAAATATTTAAATTCTGAAAAGTTGTACGCTTTGTTGATAATCTTCTACCAACCGTAAACACCTTTGTAGGGTCTTTTGGTGTTGGAGATGGAATTAAACTTTTAACAATATGAGTCCACAACTCCTTAGCTTTCTTTTTTTTGCTTATAGCATCATCTTCGCTAATAAAAACTCATGCCAAATAACAAGCAAGATTTTTATCACTTTTTTTTTTTTTTTTTTTCTTATAGCATCATCTTCGCTAATAAAAACTCATGCCAAATAACAAGCAAGATTTTTATCACTTGACCAATTAGGTCCTCTAACATGATCTTTTGGCAATTTGAAAAATTTAGAAATAGAATGAAATATTTTTGGGAAGTGGGTAGAAAGAAAAAAAGGAAAGTAACGTATGAGGAAAGTGGTTCTTGTGTGGATGTTTGAACATATACATATGTAATTATAAAGTTTTAAGATGAAGTTTGAGTTAAAATTTTTTTTTTAATTGTTTTAACCATTAAATTCAAAATGGGGGGGGGCAGCTTTTTTTTATCGTTGCATATGCTCAAATTCAATCATAACTATTGGATTTAATGTAATTATAAATATTTTTTTAATCTAGACAATTGGATCAATCAACAACCCGTTGATTGTAGTTGTTGCATGGCCGAAAGAGTTATTAGACTCTTGATTAGTGGCCGACAAAGCTGCAACGTTGAGTCGACTGTCAGCTTTGTGGCGTGCAATGCGTCAAACTTGAGGCTTTTTTTTTTTTTTTTTTTTTTTTTGGATATAAGTTTAATTTTTTGAGTTAACAGTAAAAATAATTCACTTTATTAAATAAGTTCAATTCTTTAAATTTAATTATCAACTCTTCAATAATAAGATTTAATATAAACAACAAATTTCTTCTTAATTATTATTATTTATTTAATTTTTTGTTATTTCTTGTTCTCGTCCTACTCTAAACCACATTTATAAATTTTATTTTGAATTTTATTATCAAACTATATGATAGAATAATTGTATTTATCTACTTATATGACATATTCTTTATTATAATCAACATGTTACAGATTATTGTATCTTGCTTGTAGGTATATTATATTTTTTCTACCTTTTAGTTAGGTTTTATATCTCACTTATAGGTATAATATACATTCATATATTTGTTACTTGAGTTATGATAGATTGTTTGTAGATAGATTTATGTTAGTGTATTAGTTTTTTTTTTTTTTTGGTTATAAGATATTAATTAGATTTTATGGAGTTGGAAAATGCATAATTTTAGAAGATTTAATTGATTTTTAATATTTTTAGAAAATATAAAATGAATATAAAAGTAACAAAAATATGTAATTAGATAAATTGACTCACTCCTAAAAATAATTTACATTTTTTAACCTGAATCTAAAAGTCTTAATTTTAAATCAAGGGTTGGACATAGTTTGAGAGGTGATAGAATGCAGTTTTAGGTTGTCAATTTTAATAGCAGTAACAGAAACAATGATACACAAGCGTCATGGTATATATTCGATCTACACCAACTCTATCGCCCTAAGCAATTAACAATTTAATATTGCTATCGTTTGTCGAAGAAGAAAAATTTAATCTTCTTCCCATGGAAATTTAGTACAACTTTATGATCAATTAAAGATTACACCCATATGATAAAAATGAATGAGTATCATCTTCGCATTTTTTTATGAGGATTCTGAAAATTTGTGAATTGTGTCCTATTTATTGTATATCGTGCAGTTAGTTTTTATTCGACATTATTTATGTTCAATTTTAAATAAATAAAATTTAAATAATTTCTTATCACTCAGTATACGATAACCAAACATAATTCATGGATTTAATATTTACAAAGAAGATAGTAAAGGATTCTCATTCGATAAAAATATGGTGTGTCTATTATTTTAGTATAATAAAAGGTTAAAACTATTATATAAAATGTTTAGAATTGTATGGCTGACGTAATACATGACACAATGAACAGAAAATGATTTTGAGGAGATGGTTCCAGAAAAGATTCCTTTCACACGTACCAAACGAAAGCTAAGGTTGCTTCTCCACTTCTCCTTGATGTGATGGTGACCGGTAATAAATTTTTCATCGTGACCAGAATAAGAATGATACATTACGTAATTTTATATAAATAGTAAGAAATTTTATTTTTTAAGTTTTTAATTTTTTAACTCATCAAATTTAATTTTTTAAATTTTTAATTTTTAACACATATATTCTATCATTTGTATAATAACACATAATATATCATTAAAAATATCTCTCGGCGACCGGCGGCTTATTAGTTAAAGAAGGCTACATAGTTGGTCGTAGTTTTTTTTTATTTTTATTTATTTTTTATTTTTTAAACAAATTAATCGAGTAAAATAACTTGTATCTATCGCCCACTAGTCTTTGTCTGCTTCTCTATCAATAGAAATATTATAAAGCATTGCATTTTAATAAGAGAAATTATTTGAATTTTGTTTCTGGTCATAGGAGGCAGATTCTCTCCTCCTATTTCTTGTGTTCTCTCGTATATTTTTGTCTGTGTGATTATTATTAAATCACATTAATAATTTATATTATTATTCATTTTTATCTTTTATAGAGACTGCTGACCCGATTTTCAAATATTGATGTGGTATCAAGCGGCTTCCTCCTTATCCAACCAGACCTGACTACCCTGTACCCAACTAGGCTTGACGACCCCAACCCAACTAGATGTGACGACGGTTCTAACTGGACAATATTGGTGTGATTAGAAGTGTGCGACCTTTTAAATCTTAACAGATTACATTTAGAGCTGTTCAAGTAGGTCTGTTGATTGGAAGTGGTGGTTGTTAACTCCAGGAAAAACAGATTATCTATGATTTCTGAGTTCTTTTTCTTAGTCGGCCACATGCCTCTGAGACTCTGAGTTTAATTTTCTGAATTAGAAACTTCCTAGCCTTTACCACAACCTCTATGCCGTTCAGATTTCCAGAAGGGTTTTTAAACCAAAGTAATTAACTAGCACAGTAAGTGTGAGTGTACACAGAGAAAGAGAACCTGTCAGCGTTTGCTGCACATCCAGTTAAAAACAAAGAGCAGTCAGGGCCTTCATAGCAGGAATTGCACTCACAAACAGGTTCCTTCCCGTCAAGAATTAGGCCATCTAAGTAGGCTCTTCCATGCCCTGAGCAAGAGATGGTTGCCACGTGCTCAGCTTCTTCTGCTGCTCTTTTGCTCCAACTCAGTTCCCAATTTCCACCCACATCCACATAGAGTCTGAAGCTCAGTAATAAATTAAACACTAAAGAAAATGCCAAGCACACAGCGTAGAAGCTTTGTGGTTTAGCCATATGTATATATTTTTAACTTCTTCTAAAGGCTCTTGCCTCTTGCAATATTTATAGAGCCTTAAATCATGTAAAACAGATTTAGAAACAGTAAGACAAGGACATATTAACGATTTTTTTTATATTTTTTGGGTAAAAGCGGCAGATTTAATACCGAAAAACACATTAAAATTTACAACGGTCCAGGTCCAATTAACAAAAAAGCTCAAAAGAAAGTGTGGACCCCCAAAACAAAAGTTTGAGCCCATAAGCAGTAAACGAAATAAAAAACCCTAAATTCCTAGTGACCACCGTCGATGCATTGTCGAAAAACTTCTGCCCGAACAGACACCAAAAATCCAGCCAAACAATTCTCAAAAATGACGAAAGACGACTCCAACAACCTTCACAAAGCACCATAGATGACGGAACAGTAGCAACGAACCAAAGGAAGCTGGTAAGACAAAGTCACTGAAGGCAACAAAGTCGTCGAAGACAAATCCATGGGAGGTGGTGGTGTTATCATCTGCACCGCAGCTCTACGCACATCTTGAGATAATCGCGTCAAAACACATTCAAGGTAAGTGGCTACAGATCCGAAATCAGATGGGATTGAGGAAAGCCAAGAAGGTGGAGGATGGGAAAGATGGGGAATATTAAAAAATGGAATTGATGGCATAGGATTTTGAATGTTAAAGCAAACGATATTATTTACAGAGAGGGGTATACTTAATCTCATAATAAGCTAATAATAATGCAGTTTAAATTCACTTTTGACAATAATTAAATTTAAGATCTCTCACTTATATGAGGTAAAATGAATTAGAGTATAAGATTTCCCCGGGATGGAGCCTAGTATAACCCTCTACCTAGCTCCACCCTTGTAAACATAAAATTATTTATTTCCCTAATGTGGGATTATACTCTCAATAAGACCATTAGAAGTTAATTAATCTAAGGGGTGTCTTTATAGAATATTACTTGGGAATGAGCTCATTCATTCACTTACAAATAATGTATCTTTACTGTAAAGAAATTCATAACCAAATCGTTCAATATCTTAATCTTCATTTGAAGATCATTCATACCAAATTTCATTCGAATCGGAGATCGTTTAATCAATCAAATATATCAAATAAATAAACAGTTTCATCAGTATTGAGAGAGCCCAAAAGAGCATACGAAAGGGGATATTGCACAATGTTATCAGTTCGAGTTTTAGATCTCGAGAAGCCATCACGTAAACCAGTTTTAGGTTTTGAATTAGGTGTATAATTTCTCATAAACATTTCAAAAAATCCTTTTTGTGGTACAATAATATTGGAAGCGGGGGAATGAAACTCAAGATGTTGAATAAAAGAATAGATTCTTTTAACCAACTCTTTTTACACAAAGAGAGCAAATCATAAAAAAGACTTTAAATGATGCTAATTGATATAATCAAATGCATTATGCATTGAAACTATGTATTAAGGACAATGAAAAAAAGTAGCATAATCTATTCGATATATGAACTAAGGAATCACATATTTAGAAAGCAATACCACAGTACATTATATTTGTAATCAGGGAGAAATGAAGGATTGAAACTTGAGTCAACGTCCAACATTCAAACAAGAAATACAAGTAGATAGACCAAGACCTAAAATGGTGACCGATACATGTAGACGTGCATACGGAAGCACGAGTAGTGCTATCCTATATTTCTGCAAACGTACATAAGGGAGCACGAGTAGTGCTCTACTATATTTCTGCAATATTTCTCTGTAGCAGATTAACTCACGTATTGACCCCCTACTTGAGAAGAAATAATTATTTTGCTATTCCTTTCAGCCAAGACTAAATGGTTAAGTCGCTGAAGCAATATATCAAAATCATCTTCGCTTCTTATGAGGGCGAGGCGAACATATCGATCTTCAGTGCCAAACAAGCTACCTCTGCGACCATAAACATTCGCTTCTTGTTGCAGAACTCCATAGCAATCTTTATCCTCTTCCCTCTCGCACTTCACCCACGCATAAGCTGCCATGCATATAAATATTAGAGTAAGTTGGGCTTGTTTTATGCTAGACGTAATGTTATACATAAAAGTTGATATCAACCCAAATTTCATTACAATATTTTAGGAAAAACCTACATATTCTTTGTCTATCTTTTCATGATAAATAACTTACCATAGTGGGATAATAAGGTCAATTAATGGCTAGGGTTCTCATTTGTTGTTTCATGCCTACTTTACTGTCTATAATGTTTCTTGTCAACCGTCATTTTTCTAATTTAATGGTAATTTATGTGAAACAAATTGATTTTTAGCTTAGAAGCTATTTTATTTGAATCGTATATATAAGTAATGTGGATGAGTTTGATAGCAAATTTATAAGTAATGTGAATAAAGGTTTTGATACATTGCAGAAGCGATGTTGCTATGATTTGCTTACCTATTGATAAGGTTCAATTACTAGTGTTGGGTTTTATTTTTGTTTGTTTAAGAGACATTTTATTCTACCTAACAATAACTTTTATGTTTGGCAAATAAAAAAAAAAACTTTTATGACTGACGAGTTGTTTTTATGCATTCAAAGTTTTTATGGCCGCAATTGCAAGCTTGCAAATTTAAAATGTATTATTTAATCAAGATTTTTAAAATTGCTTTTCATATTTATCTAAAAGGGAAAATTCATCATCGAAAAACTTTCAACCCTAACATAATAATTTCTATAGAAATTAATAACCAAAATATGTTTTTGGGTTTTCTCTAAAATATGAGGTGCTTACTGGGCCTACTTCAAAAGGCCCCAATGTTATAAATGGTACTTACGATTTTCTATGTATGTCAAAGGCTAGCCTATGTCAAATTTTGTACAGAAACCCCATGTTATCCAAAAGTATGTATTTGAAAATAGATTAGAAAAAGAAGTATCACAAAATCATGAGCTAGTAGGTATTTTTTTGAAAGATTTATATGTGCTTAGTTGTGTTTCCTTAAATTGACAGCATCATGCATGTAAGGAGATTTTTTTATTAACTTCTCATTTGCGGCTATAAAAAATATTTTAATGAAAAAAATATCGATAAATGTATGTGTGTGTGCACTCCTGCAAAAATATAGCTTAAGAGAAATGTTAAAGAGACACTCTCAAAGTGAAACTCTATGAATTCTTTTACACCTCACAGTTTAATGATAATTCTCTTGGCAACATTATAAAATATTGTACCAAAAACATAAGGTGTCAGAAAATCTATGAAGAGTCCAACTTTTGAGAGTCTCCTTACACCTCAATACTGCACGTATTTCCAAAAACATAGCTTAAGTGAAACTCTATGAATTCTCTTACACATCACAGTTTAATGATAATTCTCGTGCCAACATTATAAAATATTGTACCAAAAACATAAGGTGTCAGAAAATATATGAAGAGCCCAACTTTTGAGAGTCTCCTTAGCATTTCTCATAGCTTAATGTTGTTGAATGATCCCAGGTTGATTTATATGATCCAATATCAAATATCCAACGAAAGATAATGTGGACGTAATACTCAGCTAGGGGAAGCAAATTTTTTGTGATATACATGATGGTGTAGAGAGAATGTTACCTGGTGAAGGTACTCTAATTTTTTGGAAATACGTGCAGTATTGGGGTGCAATTTTCTGCAGAGAAAATCGGTTTGACAAACGAAGAGTACTGCTCAACTTTTCCCACCGTTTCTTCAAATTGTCGAACCCAAATTCAAAAATTTCCTTGGCCCGAGTTTCAAGGACGACATTCATAAGCTTCAGAGCTCTTAGCTGAGTGTCCCGGGAAACACCGAAGCTGCTTAACTGTATGTAGGTTTCCATTCTTTGGTACACAGACTCATCCTTCACCACTGCCCACCTGCCACAAGGCACAACACTAATGTATCAATGTTCTCCTTTCAACTTGAGGCTTAATCGAAATTTAAACAGGGAACTTTGTGTATTAAACATATTATTACCCGAATCTAGTACCAGCATGGCCAGTGAACTTAGAAATTGAAAATATCATAAGATCATCATCTGCTGGAGCTGGAATCGCTGTAAAATGTGGCCAGTAATATACGCGATCATAGATTGCTTTGGCATTTGGGCCTTGAAACATTGCCTTCTTCAGCTGCCCATCAGGATTGTTTGGTGAGGTAACATACTCAATAACGTTTGCGGTATCATCTGAGATGTTCTGGAACAAGGCCGCATCTCCTTCAAACTTAAAGTCAAGTGATCGAAAAAACTCCGCTTGTGTTTGGTAAAGCTGTTAAAACTCAGACGTCAAAATGATGATATACATATATTGGCAGAGCATATGCGTGAATTATTATTTGTTTTAATTTGTACCATCTAAAATGACAATCATACGTTTGTACAATTGTTTAAAATCATAGATGGTACAATCATTTTAAATTTTGTATGTCGAGATTTCGGAAGTAAGATTTAACCTTGTAATAAGGGACTGAAACCAAAACACTTGCAGGTGAGGAGTTAAAGTTATCAGAAGACAACGCGTAAAGTGCAGCGTTGAGAAGATGGGTTGAGCCAGCACCGAAAACAATGTATCTTCCTTCAGTCACAGCATTCCCAACAATGGCATGAACTGTGCGGATGTGATTCTCAAGCTCTGCTGACATGGAAGATTTATCAGGGTAGCTGTAACTCATTCGATGCCATCCTGCTACTGCAATTGCACTTTTAGCTGCATGTTGCATCCAAAAGGGCTCCAAGAAAAATGGGTCTCCGCTGCAACAAAAATACAAAGGTTCATAAGTCAGCATTTCCTCTACCCAGTTCGTAATGTTTCACTCCCAATAAAACAGTTCTTTAATTGAAGTGACAAATTAATTGATATTGGTTTAGTCATTAAATTGTAGCATATTTTCTAAAAAAATATAATACTTGGTTCATTTGGTTGTGAGTATACTTTCTGTACCCTTACAATAACTGTTTGATACTTGTATTGTTGTACATAATCCTTTCGTTTTTAAAAGGATTCCCAAGTGTACATACATACATACATACATATATATATATATATATATATATATATATATTCCTTCTAGGGATCCCTCAATTTCAACTAGGCCTAACAACAACCTAGTCATGTTTGTGTCATTTTTATATTATATCTGTTAACTTAATGGATTTTGTTGATTCAAACACATTATCTTAACAGATTTTTAACAAGTAACCCAATAATAATCTGATTCATTAACGGGTTGTGTCTTTCGCGTTGGGTTAACGAATCACATAAGAAACTGTCATGCCTAATGTATAAATCTGGCAAACGATATCATATCGGGTCACATGTTAAGTGACCTGATAACGACCCGATTCGTTATGAGTTCTTAATGGGTTATTCAAGAACAATCTGACTCATTAACAGATTAACTCGAAACTCGTTATTTTCCTAACGTTCATATCCGGTTCATATCCGATTAATAGATCGTGTAAGAAATTGTCTTGCCTAATTTCAACCAACCATTTTTCATTAAATGCCATCTCATTAGAATCTGGATCCTCTTTGTGAGGATTTCAAGAATTCATGAATAATGTCTGTTCATTATACATCGTGAGGTCATAAATTATTTTAAATTTTTTTTATTTAAAATTAAACACAATCAGTACTTGACGAAAAGTGATCGCACGATGTACATAAGGAGACACAATTCACAGATATTCGAAATTGCCACGAAGATGTTCATGATAGAATCCTGTTGGGTCTCATTCGGCTGCAAAAACAGTGACTCGTGAAGCCCAAAATTGATTTGGCATGATGAAACATTATTAATTCAGTATTTGTTCCGGTTATATGGGCCCCAATGCTAAATAATATCAGAGAATCATTTGCGAAAGAGGGATCCGAGCCAAAATAAAAACTTCCAATTGATAGAAGACAACATTTCATTTTAGAAGACCCATAGATATAAATGTTGGACAATCTTTCAGCTTCCTGTCTACGTTGTAAAAAAATATATTTTAACCTTAGTTCTAATATTTTAAATCTTAATCCTGGTTGGAGCTTTGTTTCTGAAAAATATTCCAAACTTCAAGGGGTCCAGGTATTTTATTCATTAATTTTAATAGTAATTTATTCATTAATTTTAATAATAATTGGCTATTCAAACTTAAAAAGGAGTAATTTCTAAGAAAATTAATGAAAATGATTTGAAAATTATGAGTTTTAACGATAAAGATAAAATAAAAGATAAATTAAATAGTACCAGGATGAACATTTTAGTGTAAAAATATGATTTTTCGTTAAAGTAAACAGTACCGGGAGTTTTTCATTAATGTTCCTTAATTTCGACTATAGCCAAGTACTTATTTGTTTTTATTAGTTTTTGTTTTCTTTTTCGGTCTCAAATTCATGGTCGGTATTCACTAAGATCTGGAAAACAGAGTCCGTTGATTTAAAGAAACTATAGCCCCCGCTGTTTCAAATTTCTTCCTTGGCTTTTATTTTACAGTTGGGATTAACACTTTGGGATGGTCTAGTAATTCAGATGAAACACTGAGAGCAACCAGCTAGCAGATATACATAAGTTCTCAACAAATAATGGAAGGACCGTATTTAGATCATGATTCATGTTGCAGGATTTTCTAATATAATCCATAATTTTAACTGTTAGATTCTTGGTCAAACATACTATGAAAAAGATTTATTCATTTATTTAAGTTTTAGTATAATCAGGAATTTTAATTGTTGGAAAATCACTGATCTAAAACCCCTACTAAATCAATATGCCAAACTAGAGAGAGTGAGAGTGAGAGGGTACCCGTCGGCGTTTGCTGCACATCCAGTTACAAACAAAGAGCAGTCAGGGCCTCCATAGCAGGAATTGCACTCACAAACAGGTTCCTTCCCATCAAGAATTAGGCCATCTAAGTAGGCTCGTCCATGCCCTGAGCAAGGGATGGCTGCTACGTGCTCAGCTTCTTCTGCTGCTCTTCTGCTCCAGCTCAATTTCCACTCTCCTTCCACATACAGTTTGAAGGCACACAGACAGAACAATAGGTTAACAGCTATAGAAAAGCTCGCAACATAGATGCTTTTTTCCTTGGGCGCCATATGAATTTAGTTTCTGCTTCTCAGGTTCTCTTGCATATATTTTTATATAGCCTTATATACGCAAAAGAAAATATGAGAATGACAAGTTCAAAGCATTTGGAGAGAGAGAATATGGTGATATGATGGAATTATGAAATGTGGTATAAATGCCACACGTGTGTTTTTGTACAAAAGCTAGTTAAAGTTAACTTTGGTCTGTTTTGTGTAAGAAAACTAACCAATGTGGATTTTGGTGAAAGCATGCATTGGATGAAAATGTCATAGTGAGGTACACTATTTTCTTCTTGTGTGAAAGATATTGTTGGACCAAATGCCTTATAAATAGAGACATGCTTATAACCTCATGACAACACACCAGATAAAAATGAAAAACAACTTTATGTATATATCTTTTGTATGATATATTGTATCCGTTTCGCTTCTATCTCTAGCAAATGTTATCTCTCTTACTTTTGCCACAGTAAAATTCTCACAAAGTTAGATCTGGCACGGTTAAATTATCACAAAGTTGCCTTCATCTATAGATAGGTATCATATGTCATTCAATTTATTCATATGCAATTTAGGGTGATTCAAATCCCAAGTGATCAAATTCTGTTTTTAGTTTTCCTTCTATTTTGATTTTCAGTTAAATGTTGTTCTACAAAATGAAGGATTCACCATTAACGGATTTACACATTTAGGTGTCTTTAGTGGAAGAAATCTTATTTGTTCAATTTTGTTAACTTTCTTTTCTTACATATGATTTTAAGGAACACCTGAACACATGGATGTAATATATGTATATAAACATATTTTTTTGGCACTTATATTTTCAAATTTTCTACACTTTCAACTATATTTCAAACCCCGCAGTAACGAGCGGGTACACCTGCTAGTAACATATAAACCACAAAAATATCATTTCCCAAAAAAATTTATCAGTTCCAAAGGAAAAAAAATCTACACTTCGGAATAGACCATGACATCAAATTAGTATCCCTTGTTCATCTTCATCATTCTCTCAAGTTTTACCAAGACGGTGTCATACAACTGAAAAAAAAAAAAAAATAGTAGAAATAAATCACATGGATTAGATGTTAAAATAGAAGAAGACCATTCTAATTTATATATATGTTTTGGGAATCCAATGAATCAACTCATATAGCACCAAGTATAGGTTGAGAATATTGATAATTCCCACGCCAACCCAATTATTCCCACGCCAATCCCACGCCAATCCTTCCGGTGTGTAACCGACAGATGCTAATTATGTGTCCGCAACGGACGTCGTTCGCATCCACCACATGAGCGTTAGTTCATTCTACATGGTGACGTTGTAGCTTGGTTACAGTGCAATTGAAGGAAAGAATTTGGTTTCAATTATGAAATTTCCTTCTTTTATATTTTATTTCATGTAATATGGCTATGGTGTGAGTTTCTGAGTTTGGGCCGGGCCTACATGGATTGTAGTGTTGAGTTTCTGAGTTTGGGCCCTACATGGATTGTAGTGTAGATTTGTGAGTTTGGTCCTATTGTGCTCCTTAGCTAGAGCAATGCTTTTGCCTGTCGAAATCCTTACTAGGCGACACACTTCGATTCGAAATGTCCACTTGAATTTCTAATCGAGCTATGCTGACTGATACTAAGAAGGTGATGAAGTCATAAAGTGTGGTGATGTGGAAAATTTGAGTAAATTTAAACCTAAAAATGACTAAATGGAAGAGTGGGCATGTGAGCGAAAATTGAACTGATTTCACACATGATGTCAGAGTATAAGTAAAGTACAGTAAAATTAGGATAAGATACCATCGGAAGTAATGTCCTATACCAACTTTTGCTAGAAATCCTTGTTGACACAAGAGCCTTGCCACTAAAACCTGGAGGGGCGAAAAAGGTGAGTGGGCCTGAAAGTACTGTTTGTAAAAATCTGGGTTAATTACACTAACACCCTCTAAGGTTTATCGAGTTTTCACAAAACCCCCTTACATTTGAAACATTACACTAACACCCCCTCACGTGTTAATTCACTTTCACATAACCCCTTCAGTCAAAGTTTTGCTAATAAATGGACAACTTTACCCTTGTAACTAATTAATTAAATAATAAAGAAATATATTAGAAAAAAATATTAAAAATAAATAAATTAAACATTAAAAAATAAATTAAAAATTTAAAATGAAATAAATAAATGCAAACCTTTATCAAGTTACTGTTAGTAAAAACATTAGGCTGGCATTGTGGGAGAGTTTTCATCAGGTTAAGAATAGAAAATGCCTCATCAATTAGATTGTTCAGACAAAGATGGAAATTTTCTTAATTTTTCTTTAGATTAAGGGCAAAAACCTCAAGAGCATAAAGACATTGCTTCTTCTCAATGGCATCGGACAGGGCCTTGGTGACAGTGTTGACCTAGGCCTTGGCATTGTTCTTCTGATCCACCTTATTCTTCACATTTTTTGAAGAGGAACGAGCGGAGATGAAGCGGAAGGAGCGAAGGTTTTTCTGTAAGTCACTGGAGTCGATGTATCCGAGACGCCGGGGAACTCACCTCTTTCCCAATGGAGTTTTTGTTGAGAGGAAGAAGATGCGGGATGGGAAAGGAAGAGAATGAGAGAAAGATTGAAGAAGACATGGATGGCTTTGGCCTGCAAAATTGTTAAAGCAGTGATGGGGTAGTAAGTAGTGAGGGTAGGGCAGGGGAGAAGAAAAGGATGAAGGTGGCAATGGTGGGACAACGAGAAAGGAAAACAGAGGGGAGTGGAATTAGGGAAGGGGTTTAGGTATACTTTTTTTTTCCTTTTCTATTTTTAAGTTTTTAATTTATTCTTTTAATGTTTAATTAAAATTTTTCCATCCCTACCTAGTACGAGGCCTTTTGGGAGCTCACTGGCTTCGGGTTCCGTAGGAACTCCAAAGTTAAGCGAGAAGGGGGCTAGAGCACTCCCAGGATGGGTGACCCTCTAGGAAGTTGCTCGTGAGTTCCCAAAAACAAAACCGTGAGGGAATGGTAAGCCCAAAGCGGATAATATCGTGCTACGGTAGTGGAAGCGGGCCCGGGAAATGATCTGCCCCGGGCCGGGATGTGACATTTGGTATCAGAGCCTAACCCTGATCGCGAGTGTGCCGACGAGGACGTCGGGCCCCTAAGGGGGGTGGATTGTGACATCCCACATCGCCCAGGGGACTGATCCTTAAATGTATATTCCCATCCCTACCTAGCACGAGGCCTTTTGGGAGCTCACTGGTTTCGGGTTCCATGGGAACTCCGAAGTTAAGCGAGTAGCGCGCGAGAGCATTCTCAGGATGGGTGACCCATCGGGAAGTTCTCGTGTGAGTTCCCAGAAACAAAATCGTGAGGGCGTGGTCGAGGCCCAAAGCGGACAATATCGTGCTACGGTGGTGGAGCGAGCCCAGAAAGTGGTCTGCCCCGGGCCGGGATGTGACATTTTCAATGTTTAATCATTTTTAATGTTTTTTTACTAATATATTTCTATTTAATTAATTAGTTATAAGGGTAAAGTTGTCAATTTATTAGTAGAACTTTGACTGAAGGGGTTATTTGAAAGTGAATTAAAATGTGAGGAGGTTTTGTGAAAACTCGATAAACCTCAGGGGGTGTTAATGTAATTAACCCGTAAAAATCTTTTCCAAAATGTATAACCCCTCACCGTAAAACAACTATAGTTTCCAAATTTATATACTAGATATAGTATGAAAACAATTACATAAACAGTAATATTTCAAAAATACGGTAAATCACAACATTTCACCTATAAAACATATAACATATGGTGTGATCACAATATCTTGCATGACAAACGTATAATATCAATGCTGACATACGAGCTCATGCAGAGATATTCTGGCATAAACAAGACTGGGTGTAATGATGATCTACACTTTAATACTACAATCACGTGAAAACTGGCGTTATACGCGTCCTAATTGCCTATAGCAATCTAGGACTGGACTGGCATCTACAATGGATCTAAAGTGAAAGTATCATTGCGATGTGAACATACACAGGTTGGCCTTGGGCCGGACAAGTACTAACACCAGTGTAGCATTCACGATGAGCAATTAATATAAATATGATCATGCAACGGTAAATCAATAATTCTAGTCAACATAATATTATTCATTGCCGTAAATATAATTAAGGCGTCATATAATAATACGCATACATGTGCATCCCGTAAGACATAGAATAATTTCATAAACTCCGTCAATGCACTAATTCTTATAAATGTTAATCTAACCTTGGCGTAACGCAGAAAATTCTTTATTATATAAAGGGAAACTAAATAAATATATAATATTTGAAAGCAAAAACCCACTCACAAATCATGTCATTAGGTTGAACCCGCCTTGCGGCATTGAAGATCATTGGGATGCGTTTTACCTAGAAATGAAACCATTTATGTTAATATATATTGTACTAACGTAAATTTGCGTATTCGTACAAAGTACAGTGAATAAAGGAACTATTGTAAAACGATCGAATTTCGAAAAACGGAGGGCAAATTCGGATTCAACATGTCGGGTAACCTAAGGAGGGACCTTGGGTTGCTCCACGAGCTATCTCACGTGCAGCCACAAGGTGGCTACATTGGTAGCTACCTTCCTCGTGAGGCCTACAAATTTGCAGGTTTTTGGTCCCATTTTCAAAGCTCATTTCTAGCTTATTTCTCAGTCATTTTCAATGTTCTATATAAGGATTTGAAGTTAGGAATGAGAAGGAAAGAGATATACCAGTTCGAGGTCGAACAGAGGCCGAAAACGACTGGAAAAATGGCCTGATGGTCACGGTTCCCTTTGCTGAAAATTGGGGGGATATCCCCTTCATCGATTCAGTGTTATATCATTGTTCAAAATACATACAGAAGATCAAGATCGAACCACAAAAACAAAAATGAAAGATTTAGAATGTCCCAAGGCTTACCCTAGTCAGAAAGTCAAGAATTCGCCGAATTGCGTTTGGGGACGATAATGAATAGTGGCATAAGCCATTGCCTACAGGGTGTGCGGTCTCTGCCCTGAGTCCGTGTTCATGGTGGTGACACACTGTGAGGCTGATGGTGGTTATAAGACTCGCCAAAGTGGCGATGGAGATCTGTGGCTCGGTGGTGATTTTACGGA